ATGGTACTGATGATGCCGGTGACCGTGGTGGCAGAACTATGCAACGAAGATGGCCCATCACCCGGACGTTCCCAATAAGAGAGCACCGATCATGATAGTGATGGTGATGATGATGATGATGTTGCTGCTGGTGGCGGTGGTGGTGGTGGTGGTGACGATGTAGGCGGTCTTCAGGTGAGGGAGCCTTGAACACCCTAAACGCACACCCTTAATTGCTAAACTGCTAAACTCCGAATCCCCGACCTCCGAAACCCTGAAGTCCTAAAAACCCTTCCATTGGGTCGGTCCCGCGTTTAAGGGAAAGCCCCTAGTCAGCCCCAGTTTGCCGTTGCTGAGCTTGCCGACCCTGAGGAGCTTCGTGGCAGAGTCGATGGCAGACTTCACATGCACGTGGGCCTGGCGTCTTCAAGGTTTTGGGCTTAGGGCCTAGAGCCTTAGCGGGTTCGTGCTTAGTGTTTGGGGCTTTGGTTTTTAAGGGTTTGAAGGTCTAAGGAATCACGCGGTTGGGGCTTAAGGCTTCAAGCCTTCAAGGGGTGAGGTTTCGGATAATATCGGGATCCCTGTGGCCCTCAAGCCTGATGTATTTGCGCGGTCTCTTTGTGAAAGGATCCGACTGAGGACTCTGCTATACAACCACCGACCGCACCGCCCTGGAGACTCCGAAATCGCCCAAAGTTGCTCTTCGCAATGAGGGGCTGGAGCTTCACGTCGAATATCCCCCAAACCATAAACTTCACGACATCCCAGATCCTAGATTTCCTTTCGAACCCCGAAAGCTCCAAAACACAAAGACTCACATTCTGCAGGGCACCTTCTCGTCCTCCATGCGAACGAGAAGCCGCGAGGCGGCTATCCGCAGTGAAGGCCGATCACCACGCCTGAGACATTTTTTCCCTCCTACCTAGGAAGGGCGAAGCCCGCATTGCAGGGTGTCTAGGTTGAACAGTTGTACAACAGCTGCATCTGAGACTTTGGGATTGCATGGTTCGGACACTCTGGAAATCAGTGCTTCAAGCCTTGAACACAGAGGATGCAGAGTTTTTTGGGGTCTAGGTAGGCTTTCAGGTCTAGAGTTGAGGGCTGGCAGTTGCGAACACGCACATCTTGTGGCTGCACTTTGGGTTGGCGTGGGGTCGAGAGCTTAGGGCCCGGATCTAAGGTTCAGCTCTTACGAAGGCGCTGGTCCTTTACCAGACCCAGCAAGAACCATGCGCCGCATTTCCCACAACCCCCTCACGGCTCAAAGACGGCAAGCCTCTAAGTCGCAAAGTAGAAGAGCATGGTTAGTAAAGCTTTTCGCCCAGGCACTTGTGGCGGCGTAGGCCTTGGACCGGAACTGTCGAAGATGCAGTCGGAAAGCCACGTTCGGCTGGTTGCTCAACGCCGTTACGTTTATTCTTTCTGCCTCAGTTTGAGTACACATTCCAAAAACCCTCACAATGCCTGCGATTCGCTTGAGAACTTCGAAGATACCCAGGACGAGAAATCCTGCAGACCTCCTTCTAAGGCCAACGACCATTACCAATACTACTAACAACCCCTCCTGCTGCTGCTGCGGTTGTTGCTACTGCAACGGCTACTGCTATTGCAACTGCTACTGCTACTCCTGCTCGTGGTCCTGCTAACTACTGCTCCTACTCCTGCTAATGCTGCTCCTCGTGCTCCTCCTGCTGTGGCTGACCACGACGACGACTAGCACCGGGGCACTATGGTACATGAAGGAGCCGAAGTCTTGTTGCTACTGCGCTGTTCTTGTTATTGTCATGTTGTCCTATGTACTAGCAGCACCAGGGCGAACTCAGTGAGCTGAATCCCTGAACCCTCAACCCCTGATTACGAGTCCGTAAACCTGGTCTTTTGCATTGAACGTTCTAAATTCTGATAGATCTAAGACCCTGAGGCCACCACAGTGCACGGCTGGCTTCAACCCACAGCAGAGCATCGCCAGGGCCTGCCCACAACGATCCCGAGGCCTTTTCTGATCCCAACAGCATGCGGCTGGCCGCATCTGCGTCATCCGGTGCTCTCATACATACGAGTAACATATGTATGTATGTATGTATGTAAGCATACATACATACCAAGTATGTCTATACATAATACCAACCCTATACACCCACACTGGCACTTCTGGCCATGCGATGGAACGTCCGCAGGTCCTTCTGGGTGTCAGTGCTCACGCTAAAACTGCATCCGAAGGCATCGAAGAACAGAAGTGACACAACAAACATGACTGCAGTCGTGGAATAATATTGCACAGGATCAGATAAGCTCCATAACCGTCCAGCTAGAACACTACAACGACTGCACCTCCTTCACTTGTGATGCCGCCTTCAGGACGACAGCAATGCAACACAAAAAGGTCTGAGGACATGGGCTGCAAACACCGCCGCACCACGGCATAACATGTAGTATCCGCACACACGCACGCGCCAGTCACAGAAAGCAAAGCCACAAGGCCGACAGCTGCACAAAACTCTAGCAATGACCGAAGACATGTAGCAGCTTTATACACAGCTGCAGAAACTTAATGCGAGAGCCAAAACCCACGATCGTCAGTAGACTTTGCTTGTTCATGTTGCAGCTACATTAAAAAGGAACGCCTAGACTATAGAAATCATCAAAAAGCACTGCAATGCTCCTACACACTGAGTGAAGGTGCACACTCACATTCGCCCGATCGGCTGCAGGATATACACTCGCAAGCATGATCACGGCAGCCCGGCATAAGAAGCATAAAGCGGAGCGTCGCAAACAGCAAAACATCCCGAGAATACGATGGCTGTGAACTCGACCTCCGAAAATTCAGTGCCTCGGCCGCAGACAAGCGAACCATCCAGGAAGAGTCCTCTCTGAAACGACAGGACGTCTTCGGCAAAACCAGTTAACACAGGGAGGTATGCCCGGGCCCATAGTGTCACCACTGCCGCCCCGGAAACGACAGTTGAAGTGGCAAACACAAAACTTATGACTATCCTGCTTTCAATCAAAACATGCATAATCTGACAGGACTGGCCAGCGCAATCCTACAAAAACAGCATACTCTGACAAAACTGGCCAGCGCAGAAATCTGTAGCATCCCTACCTTTGTCCAGTGCAAGCCTATGCCGTCCGCATGCCGTCCCTGCTCCTAGAAACAAGAAGTCCCGGACCCTTTTCTCGATCGGCGGTCGCTCAGGAACCTAGTTTGCCCAGTGAAGGGCTGGAATGGATACCTCCGATTATCTGCCTGTACTTTCGTGCATCTTCGGGAGGGTTGCCTGCGCATTTTGCGCAAGTATTGAGAGCCAAAAGGGCCTAGAAAGGGCTTCTTAGCCGTTCATCCATCTACCGCCCTACTTCACCCAAGCCTTAGGGCCTTTGGGGTTTCACCTGAACTCAGCCAAAACCTCATGCCGAAGCCCTGGGGTTTCCAGGGCTGCCTGTCCGGACAAGGCATCATATCTCTGCGCCCTCGCCGTGCTGAATTGACTGCAGAAGGTGCATCTGCTGCCGTAGCAAGAAAGCTTGGGACGTCCCTAAGCTTACGATCATTATAGCTTCTCTGGCTCTTGTTCATGGTGATATTGCATTCCCACTTCGGGCTGCGACGAATGCTAACAACAAGCATCAAAATATATTTAATATATCAGAATGGCGACCACTGGGAGAAACAACAGTAATCCAGTGCCTTTGCGGCTGCTGCTACTACTTCTACTATCACTACCACTACCACTACCACTACCCGTAGCCGTAGCGCTGCTACTGCCACTGCCACTGCTGCTCCTGCTGCTCCTCCTGCTCCTGCCCGCTCCTCCTCCTCCTCATCGTCCTCCTCGTCCTCCTGCTCCTCCTCCTGCCCCTCCTCCTGCTCTCCTCCTGCTCCTCCTCCTGCTCTCCTCCTGCTCCTCCTCCTGCTCCTCCTGCTCCTCCTCCTGCTCCTCCTCCTGCCGCTCCTCCTGCTGCTCCTCCTCCTCCTCGTGCTCCTCCTCCTGCCGCTCCTCCTGCTGCTCCTCCTCCTCCTCGTGCTCCTCCTCCTGCTGCGACGACGGCGACTACTTCTGCTGCTACTGCTGAGGCTGAAGCTGCTGCTACTATTGCCGCTACGGCTACTACTGCTACTGCTACTGCTACTGCTACTGCTACTGCTACTGCTACTGCTACTGCTACTGCTACTGCTACTACTACTACTACTACTACTACTACTACTACTACTACTACTACTATTACTACTACTACTACTACTACTACTACTACTACTACTACTACTACTACTGACTACTACTACTACTACTACTACTACTACTACTACTACTACTACTACTACTACTACTACTACTACTACTACTACTACTACTACTACTACTACTCTGGCTACTACTACTACTATTACTACTCCTACTGCTACTGCTGCTACTACTACTACTACTCCTACTCCTACTCCTACTCCCCCCCTGGCATCAGCAACTGCGCCAGCATTCTCACCATCATAAACGGCATCACTCTCGTCATCTTCATCAACATCAATAGCAGCATCATCGTCGTCACGACTTGGCTTTAACATCTACATTAAAATGTTTGGACATTATCATTATGGGGCGGGGCTGCTGCTGCTGGCACAGTTGCTGCTGCTACAACCAAGTTTTGGTCTTCTCTGACGACGACGTCGACAGCCGGATTTCTTTCAACAACTAGCCAAGTCTCCAGTGCAATCGTAGCATTCCTATCCTTGTCATTGCCAGAGCCTGCAGTCAAAGTTGGATACCAAGGAACTTCCATGTGTTTAAGTCTTTGAATCTGGTCTTGGATTTGGTGCTTCGCGGACAGTCGTATGCACCCTCCATGAAGCCATGGAATCGCAAAGATCTCCCCTGATGCTCATCCGTACCTGTAGGGAATGTCGGGATGCAGGACCATGTGCTAGTTTCTTTCCGAGGTAGTTCCGAGTGTACTGCACATGGCACGAGGACATGGCATCTCAAGATGCGCAATCGCCTCTCAAGGCCACTCGACATTCGAGCTTAAGTTATTCCAGAACAAAATCTGCTCAAACTCAGCCGAGGGTGCAGGTCATCATCGTCATCGGCGGCTGCTGCGGTTGTTCCGATTCCGACATCATCCGGCCAGTTGATGACGACTCCGGTCCCTCCGCCGGCACTCGAGTTCATGTAAACTGGATCGAACTTCTTCCGGAACTGGTCGTACCTGGAGCCGGACGCAACTGAATACAAATCCTGTCTCCCCGGTCGGCCGTGCGACAAGCCCAACAAAGACCTGCTACTAAAGCCGGAAGCCCTGAGTCCAAAACTCCAAAAGAAACAAAACCCCAGAACTCGTTTTCCATCCGGGAACCCAAACCTCTGAACCCGTGAAGCCAGAACCCCAAGCAACCTAAGCAACCTGCCGTGAATTGACATGACAGACTGACATGATAATCTGGTAGGGGCGAAAGACTGGCAACTGCCATTGCAGCAATAACAACAGTGATAGCACAGAGGATGTTTAGAGTTCACCTCGTGCTCATGCCGCTACTCCCTGATATCCCAGGTCCCGACACCCAAACCGAAACCCCTTCTTGCGGCAGGCTTGCACGCAAGGACGACCCTAAAACCCCTGAAACCCTATCCTAAGTAAGTTTACAGTAGCGCTAAGCCCTAAAGCCTAACCTTTTACGAAAACCCTAAGCCCGAAACTCCGAATTTACTACCTGCAAAACCCTAACCCCTACACCAAACGCATGCCCAGTTGCTTTGCGAGGTCCGACCCAGCCACGGATCGGCGAGCCCCGGCAAAGGCTTCCTGCAAGCTGCAGACATCGGGACAGGATGGGCCCCTGGCCTGATGATGACAATAAGAATAACAACAGTAGCAAGAATCGTCATGATTAGCATATTCACAACGACAACACTATCAATGGGCACACGGACAATAAAAGCAATAACAAAAAACATCATTTTCATGACTTCAACATCATGCCGTAACATCATGTGCATTGGACCAGAATTCTACATGAATAGGGATCTTTACATACGCGAGGGGTGGGGCTTGAGGACTCGAAGTTCTCCTGTTTGCTTCAAGCATTGCTTAGGCTTTACGGTTTTACCGGTTCAGGGTTGTGGTTTTTTCAGCCCGTATCGCAGGGTAAGTTCGGCAACAGTTGAAGAAGCTATTCAAAGCTAATTGAAGGTTAAAGATTTACGGTTTGGGACTTAAGTTTAGATTTTAGGTTTACGGATGAAGGCTTAGTGCATCAGGGTCTGCACTTAAGGTTCAGGGTTGGGAGCATGGAGCAGTCAACGCACGCAATGTCTCTCATAGCATCCGTGCTCACAAGCTTAAACATGCCTGCACCATAAACCCCAAGCTCACAAAATTGCCTCGAAGTGCTTGCGTCCGATCTCGGAGCCCATCTGGGTATCCATGGCGTCGTCGTCACCTTTTCAGTGCTTGTGATTGTATGTTTCTTTGGCCCTGAGATGATTGAAGGTACAGGCTTCAGGCTCTGCTTCACAATTTTATCGGGTCGCGGCGTCGGGCTTACCAAGACACAATAAACTAAACCCTCGGCCCTGTACCCTAGAACCACAATGCTCAAAAGCCCCTAACGCTGTCAGGGCGGGGCTGAGCCTGCAGGACCGGCCGTCGGGCGGTCAAGATAGGGCCCTGAATGACCATAGCAGGGTTATGGGGAGGGCACGAATCTCGCGAGAAAGCATCCCTAAATCCTAAACCCTAAACCCCGGAATCCTAAACCCTAAACCCTAAAGAGCAAGCTTCAAGGGTCCGAACTCAGGCACATCCCGGCGAGGTGGCTAGTGGGGAAGCTTGCAGCACCTCAAGATCAAGACAAATACTATGCTATGGCATAGCATAGTATAGCATAGTGTAGTAGAGTTACTGTACTAGATCGTTAATTTACTGCATGTCTGGGAGATTACCTGGAGCAACCCTGCTCATGACCTCGCTTCGGAAGTGGTCCAGATGTAATGCTGAGTGAACACACTGCTCGGGTTTGTTCGGCCCGATGAATTTCCCACTCCGACACAAAAAGTCTTCCGCAGAGATCGCAAACCTCCAACCGCCAATACTTCAGCCCAACCCAAGACTCCAAAACGTAAGCCTTAAAGCCCACAAATCCGAAGCCACAAGCCCAAGATGCCTAACCACTGAAATACTGAAATACCCTCTGCCAAACACACCTGCCCGAAGCTCATCTGCAGCGATCGCATCACGCACTGCTGCCTGCGGAGGCTGTTGGGATGTCGGGTTTAGGGCCTTAGGCTTGGGGAAGAGGATGTAAGGAAAAAGAGCTCGGGTCCTGCAGATGCACAAGTCGCAAGCCAAACCAAGCTCTGCTCAAGGAATACCGTAGCAGCCTGATAACCCAAACCCGACACCCAAAACCCCACAATCCCAAAGCATCGATTTTTTGGGTGTGGCGACACTGGCCGAACTCTGCGCGGGAGATTTACATCTTCATTTTCCTATGCGGGAGCTACAGAAATCTGCGAAGCTCTGGAACTTCCACCTCTAACCGCAAGCTTCCGATGCACCTCGAACAGATACATAGAAAGAAACGAGATGCAGCAATATGCCAACGTGCTGAAAAATGCAGCAGGGAATGCAATGCTGTGTCCGAGATGCATGGTGTAATTCACGCAGCATGACAAAAGGTGCCCATGGACGTATGCTCAAACGTGTTCATGATGAGAGATATACCTGAACAGCCCTGAACAGGCTGATCATAAGTGGGTTTTCGGGGATCTGACATAAGACTTGCAGCCAAGAGAATGCCGTATACGTGCGCATACGCGTGCGTGTACAGTGTGCAGGGTGGACCGACAGGCAAATAGACGGGCAGCCTCTCAGATAGACACAACGCATAGAAAATCCCAAACGCCCAGACTCTCCGAATCCGAACCCTACAAACTCAAGAACCCCAGGTTCCTGAAGCTGAAGTCTAAACCCAAACCGCCAAACTAATACCTTAAAACCCTTATACCCTTAAACCCCAAACCCTAAACTATAAACGCCTAAACCTCTAAACCCCAATCCCAAACCCCAAACCCCAAATTCTTAAACCCTGAATCCTTAAACCCTAAATCCTTAAACCTGAATCCTTAAACCCTAGAATCCCTAAACCCGAAAAACCGTATATCCTAAAATCCTTCAACCCTAAAGCTCCTTAAACCCAAAATCCGTAAAACCCTAAAACCCTTAAACCCTAAACCCTGAAATCCTTCAACCCTACATCCTCAGACCCTCAAATCCTTAAACCTCGAAACCCTTAAACCCTAAAATCCCGAAACCTTGAAATCCTTAAACCTGAAATCCTTAACCCCTAAATCCTTGAACCCTGAACCTTGAAACCCTAACCTCCTGAACCCGAAAACTCGTACACCCTAAATCCCTAAACCCCAAAATTCATAAACCCTAAATCCCCCCCTGAAATCCTTAAACTTTGCAATCGTTTTTCCCTAAAACCCCCAAACCCTGAAACCCCTAGATCCTTAAACCCTAAATACTTACACCCTAAATCCTCAAACCCTAAAATCCCTAAACCCTAAAATCCTCAACCCTAAAACCCGTACACCCTAAATCCTCAAACCCTGAAAATCCTTAAACCCTTTAAAATCCCTAAACCCTAAAACCCTGTTCTGCACAGACTTGTATATGCCCGCCTGGATTTCAGAGCCGCTGCACTCGTGGCACTAACTTTAAGCTTTCACGACTGAATCACCGAGGAGCCTCTCGAAACCAAAAGCCGTTTGAGAATCAACACCTGTATAAACATAAATTAAGCCGAAGTCTTGATAGATGTGATCATGCAAGCAGGCCAGAAAGTCAAACCCTAAAACCTCTAAACCCCAAAATCCCTAAACCCTAAAATCCCTAAACCCTTAAACCCTATATCCTTAAACAGAAATCAACAGACCGAATCCCCGCCTTGGCGGCACGCTGGCAGAGCTCCGCCAGATCCGCACCGCTGAAGCCCTCGGTCTTCTGCCTTGGTCTTGGGTAAAGCCTTTCCGGGTTAGGCCTCTTGAGGTTAGGCCGTGGGTTCAAGTTTAGGGCCACAGTTTGTAAAAAAAAATCCGTTTAGGGTTGAAAGAAAAGGGTTAGGGAAACACGCGGACAAGTCCGGGCAGTTCTGCAGACGATACAGGGACAAGAGTGATACAAGACTCGAAGTTCTCAAACCCTTGCGGCTTATCATATGTCTGTGTTTGTGTGCGTTGCGCACGTGTGTCTGCAGTCGGTGTGTGTGTATATATATATATATATGCATATACAGATGTATAGGTGTGTATATGTATATATATATATATATATATATATATACACGTATACATATATATATATATATATAGATATATATAGATATAGATATAGATATAGATATAGATATAGATATAGATATAGATATAGATATATATATATATATACATATATATATATATATATATATATATGTATGTATGTATATATATGTATGTAAATATATATTATACACGTATATACATTTAGACTGTGACAGACAGATAGACAGATAGACAGGGGGTGTAGTATCTTTACGAATGTCTGGCCGAGCCTTCTGATTTAACAATGGGGTTCCCCATGGATGGTCATCTCCTCTCGGGCAATGGTTTTACTATTCGATTGGGGGTGCCTGATGGATTGGCATGGCTTGGCTGCGACTTCATGCTCTGAAGACCAAAAACCTTCGACTTCTTCAAAGTGCTGAAGCGATGTTTCCATAAGATGAATATGCATACATGCCTGTATGTGTGTTTTATATATATATATATACATACCTACATACATACATACATACATGCACATTTATGTGCTTACTCTATAATGTTAAATGCATGTATGTACACGAGTCTGTAAGTAAGTATGTATGCATGTATGCCTGGATGCCTCCATGCATGCATGCCTGCATGCATGCGTGTATTTGTGTATGCGTGTATGTGTGTAACTGTATGTATGCATGTACGCATGTATCTATGTATCTATGTAGGTATGTAGGTATGTATGTACCTGTGTAAGTAAAGATCGCTGGACGGCTTCTCAATGAGTCGAGGGCTCATGGGTTCGGATTGCTCAGGGTGCGCCCCCTTGTTCGGCGACTGGCATTCCTCAAAAGTACGAACTATTGCCGGCCTAGCTGAATATGGCCGACTTTCTGGCTCGCTTTCCCTGACTCAAGGCCGGCTCCAGCCGCCTTCACCCAGGCACGGTGGCCCCCGAAACCCGCAGAGGCCTGTGCCTGGACTGAGGCCCGTTCCCAAAGGCCTGGCCTAGTGCTGAGAGAATCACGCTTCAAGGTCCTTATCTTAAGGATCACAAGAGGCCCTATCTCAGAATTGCCCGCACGTTGGCCCAGCTGCGCGATGAAGGACAGCGGGACATTGGGCGCGATGGGGGACTTCTTCAGGGTGGCTTCGAGGATGCTTTGCCTCAGGACTTTCCAAACAGAAGGGCACAAGGTTGGGGAAGCGACCAGCCGCATGCTTGTTTCTACTCGGCGGACTGCCCACTGACAGTGTCTTCTCCTCACAGCTACAGCGGGCTCAGGGAGCTGCGCAGCACTTCTTGCGACACACACGGACACCATCCTGAACCCTGGCTCCGAAACTCTAAGATTGAACTTTTGCATCAAGGGCACCGGGCAGGAAGATCCGGAAGAGGAATGTAGACCCTCAGCTGAAGAAACTGCCATCTGCAGCTTTCGGGAGTCGAGAGTGTCCTTAAATTCTATCTGGTGTCTATACATCAGCGTCTATCAGCTCCTTTATTTCCGAATCTCCCAACTTTTTCATTCAAGGTCCAACACAAGCCAGCGGAGGAGACCATGATTTCGCAGTTGGGCGGAGGAGACAGGGGCGAGTTTTGCTGATCGAAAAAAGATAAGAGAATTACACAGACAGGAGGAGGTCACTGAGTTGGCTGCAAAACAAGAACTAAACTGAACATAAGAATAGCAGGAGGGGCCCAGCTAGTTGGCGATGCAAGGCTAGACATGTACAGAAAGCTAAAGATTGGACAATGCCCAGAAACCTGAGTTCAAACGCTACACCCGCGAGTGCGCAACCCCGCGCTGACAAATACGATTCGGTGCGAAAGAAAAGAAAGCTGAAGAACAAGAAAGCTGCAGCCCATGCCACACAAACAGAAAACGGAAGCCATCGGAAGCCATGCCAATTCAACCAAGAATAACAGTCATAATATGCGGGCAAGTGCAGCAGCAAATAGTTTAAACGGAAGGACCGATTAATCCTACCATTGACGCGTAAGCTTAAACCCCAAACCCAAAACACAGCTGCTAAACAATCATACCATACTGTTACCCATGACTCTTCAGCCAGTAGACGAACCCTTCAAGAACCCCTTATAGGAACCTTTAAAGGACCCCATAAAGCACCCAGGGCGCAGCTGATCCAGTCGACCTGGACGCAGGAGTGCCTCGTCGAGAAGCTCCGGTCGGTTGGTGGCGCCGATGAAGAAGACGTTCCTCGCTTCGGTCTGTATAGTCGGGTTTAGGATTCCGGGTTAGGGTCTAATAAAGGCTTCTTAGATCTGCAATTTTTGTTCTGTTAACAAGCCGGTCTCCGCTAAAAGCGGTTTCGACAGGCTTCGGGATTTTGCTGGACTGCGCCCTCTCTCTCTCTCTCTCTCTCTCTCTCTCTCTCTCTCTCTCTCCCAGGCATTCGAAACCCAGAAACCCTAAACCCGCAAGCTCCTAAACCCTAGGCTAGTGGTGTGAACTTTACAGCTCGAAGCCTTTGACACATGAACCCTTGCTTCTAGGACTGCTCAGTACTCATCTCTGCGGTCATCCACTTAGGGGGATTTGTAGTTGCCAATGGGGCCGAAGGTATGGCGCCAGTCAGCCCTCACAGCAGTTTCGGGCTCAATACCATTCTGGAGGTAGGGCTTATGGGTTCGGCTTGGGGGCTTGGAGGCTTTGGCAGGAGGAGGATTCTTCGGTTTATATTCTGGCATTACTGCCTGGATGGCAGCCTCTACGACACTGCAGCAGTGTGGAATCAAAAACCCGTTTGACATGAACATTCAGAGTTCCATGCCACTCTACGTATCACGTTCAGGTTTCGGGTCGGCATGGCACCAGCCTACCTGGCGCAGGATGACCACTGTCCCAAAGTCTTGTCAAGCTATGTGCACGGTAAGCAAAGTCGACACGACTTGTGGATCCAAAATGCAGGATCAGGCCATGGGGCTCTAGATTGTAAATACAAGGACATGCTTCCGAAGTCTCTGCCCTGAAACCCGAGTCTTGCGAGAGCCGAGCATCTTTTTCGCGCCCACACCGTCGATCTCTGTGAGCAGCTGGTTCATCACCTGGGCGATCGAGGACTTTCAAATTAGCTCCGGAGCTGGGCATGGCGCCTTGAATCCTCTGCAAACACAAACAGAAAACTCTGCATAACCCTTCTTGCAGCAAGCCTCGTTGTCCAGCAGCCCGGTCTGAATAACCCTAGACTCTAAGCCCTTGGTTTCACGAGCCCCTGACGCGGTCGCCCGCGCCACCGGCATCGCCCTGAGTGGAGCCGCGGGCCACGCCGACGGAGTCCTCGGTGGTCCCAAAGGCTTTGTATCACGCTGTATAAAATTGGGGTTGAGGGCTTAGCCTTCGAACCAGCCGCTATGCCGCAGGAAATCCGCCTCGCCATGACAAAGTTTACTTTCCGAGTGCATCGGTTCCTGGCCAGTCTGACAACGTTCACTCAGACATGATACATTCCCCACGGCATCCTTGGGCCTGCTGAAGGACCCTTGAAAATAGCCAATATTATAAAGCATTTCTATGTATCAGACTTTATATTTTATATCTCTATACATACTATGTATTACGCTCGAAAGCCCTTTTGACAGCTCAGTATATGCTCCGTAGGACTGGCCGCAATGGCTTTCTGCAAGCAGGCTTAATGTCAATCTGTACACAGAACTGCAGGAAAAGGAGCCATGGTTGACTCTTTAGAAAATCGTACAAAATCGAACTGCATCGTGTTTTGGCCTAGTTTAAGTGCTTCGGCTGAACACGCCCACCTTGCAAAATCCCAGTTGGAATGTCTGTGCAAGCTCTGAAGCGCTGCGCCGAAAACGACGTCTTGGCGAAAGTCTCCGAGGCTTCGTGGCGTCTTGCTAAAACGGTTCGATCGGAGTTTTGGGCTTACGCAATGTCTGGGGCTTAGAGGTTTCGGTGCTCACACAGGCGAGGCATCACATGCCTCGACTTCGGGGTTCGCATAGGGTTTAAAAGTAAGGCTCGGGTTTTTATGAAAACTCAAACAAGATTCATGTGGGACTTGTATGTGGTTTCAGGGGAGTTGATACAGCATTCATGCAAGAGTTTCGAATCTGGTTTAATGTGTCGTGTGGGATCCGGGCTTCACAGATAAGACGTTTGAGTTCAGCGCAAGGACAAATGATTCCAGTTGAAGCCTTGAGATTGCATGTCTTGGCTGCCCAAATTACTCTCTGACCTAAAGCTATCTTGGGATCTAGGATTTGGCTACCGGGCTCTCCCAACCGAATCCGAAACCTGAAACAGAACACATCCTGATGCTTCCGCACGAGCTGTCAACGGCTAGTTGGACCATGAAAAGCGTCCAGCTCATCGAAGAAGAGCACGCAGGGAGCAGCGGCTCGGGCCTCTGGGAGGATTTCTTCGGAATCTGCCGGGCTCCCGCTCTTGGGATGGCGTTTCGGGTCTCGACTCGCACACTCGCTCGACGCAGGCACGGCTTCATGGGGTCTGCTTCGGGCTTTGGGTTGTAGGATTTGAGGTCGACAACTTTTTGTGGTTTCGACTCTCTCGTCCACAAGCCCATCTGCTTCAAGAATGTCTCGCCGAGGATTCTGTGCGAAATCATGTAGCTCCTCGACCAAACACGCTATTCTGATCTTGCACAGCCCTCGGCCCTCGCACCCGGGTTCGGGGCTTCTCGCTCGTTGCCTCACAGCTGCCATAGGCTCTCGCGCATGCACCTAATTAAAAGCCTTGGCCGGACGCCGGCCAGCAGGCTCCTACGGAGCCGCCTCAGGTCCAGCCCGTGAAGGGCATTGTTTACGGGTAGACGACTTCCGCTTCAAGCTGGATGATCCCCATGTCTGACATCACCATGCGCCCGTTTTGCCTCCTGGCAATCTTTTTGTGCACAAGGTGCTTGACAAAAGGCCCAGCTTCCTGCACGAAAACCTCGAACAGTCTCACTGGCGAGCGTTCCCGTTGGTGTTGAATCGTCTCGAGCACTGCTGGGCATCGTCCACTAAGGTACCGTTCGAACCGGGTTCGGGGCTTCGGCGTTCACACTCGGACAATCCAAGCGAGGCATATGATCCGCGGGTTCAGGGTTGCCTCAACCCTTTTTGCTGCAGGCTTGCAAGGACGCCTGGTAGTGTGCCGCTCTTCCGCCAAAAACCCCGAACCCTAAACCCCGAGGGCTTTTTGCAGCGGGGCCTTGTCGAAGACCTCGCGCACGTTGGCCTCGGACTCGCCGAACCACATCGTGAGGAGCTCTGGGCCTCGCAGGTAGAGGGGCCTTACTAGTTGAAATGAAGTTCCGGGATATAGTTTGGTATGGCATGGTACTGTATGGTATAGTATAATGGTACGGTATAGTATGGCATGGTATAGTATAGTAAGTATTGTATGGTATGGGGTAAGCAACAGCCGTATTCATTAGTCGCGCTTCAATATTGTCGGGTTTCGCGGTTTATGGTCCTGGGGCTGTAGGGTTGAAAGATTTCGGGCAGGCTCCACAAAAGACCCGGCAAGGCTCAAAAATAGTCCGCAACGCCCTTCCACTCTTTGTTCAGCCTGGCCCCGCTATCAACAAGCGTTGAACCTTGCCTGCTGTTTCCTTAGCCTTGGCGATGCCCACGAAGAGCGGCCAAGGCCAGGCTGCAACGCTCATAAGGTTAGCAGGCAATGTCTCAAAAGTCAAGATAACCTTCCAAGGTTCCAGACTTGTCATCCAGCGCTCGACAAGTTAACGACAAAGGGCTGCAAATTTCAGGGCAAGCTCTAGGCTTCCTATCGCGGCCCCTTCAAGGGCTCCTTTCTTCGAGAATTCCTTTCAGGCTTCCAAAATTCTTCCATAGTTCCTTCTCAGGGTCCTAGGGGTGCTTTCCAAGCTTTCTTCTACGGTTGCTTCCAGGCTTCCTTCCAGGTCTCTTTCCAAGGTTCCGAATAATGTTCCTTCTAGGGTTCCGTGTAGGGTCTTTCTGCGGTTCCGTCTTCTAGGGTCCCTTCCAGCGTCCCGTCTAGTTGGTTAAGAACGAAGTTGTTCTGTATGCGGTGGGAACCAACGGACGGCCTGTTCAGAATCCGTGGGCGAAAGTTTTAGCACCATGGTGGAAACAGTATCTATGCTCATTGTGGTGTGGGACTATGGGGCGGGTTTGCATTTTCTTCTTGCCCCAGATCAGCAACAGATGGCAGGTCAGCTGAACCCGAAACACCTACCCTGAACCGTTTCACCCTCCCACACGCCTTTGATGCTGACGAAATTGGCGGAGCATTCGGAGGCCACGGCTTTGGCCAGCAACGTCTTGCCGCAGCCCGGCGGGCCTCTTGTAGCTGGGGGCTTCTGGAACCCGTGGCCCTGAGCTCCACGCCACAACCCGCGTCCCATAGCACGAAAATTCCCGAACCTTCCATAGCTCAACACTTTGGACCTAAAGTGACCTGAATATAAAACAAGCACAAGAGCCGTAGAAGAGCACACCGCGCGACGGCTGCATTCCAAACTTCTCGAACTTCTCCTCAGTAGAACGGACTTTCTGATGTCATGTGAACGGACTTCTGATGTCATGTTATAAGAACTAGTGTCTGGCTCCTCCATAATTTGAGTTTATCATGGGAAACCGCCGCTTGCAGGGAGATCCTGTCCGTCGTCGTCGCTGCATCAGCGTCAGTGGCAGGAGCTGAAAGCAAACAAAAACCTAAACGACCACCACGACGACTACGCCGACGACGACGAGTAGAAGGCCGTCTGCCTGCTCCTCCTGCAGGCGGTGCTGCAGCTACCTACGGCTACAGCCACTGTTCTCACCCCTCGTTCTTTGTGTCCTCTTGCCTTGACTATTGCCGGTTCTGCCTCCTTGTGGTGGCTGCTGTTGTCGTCGCCGTTGCCGTTGTTGTTGTCATGGTCTTGCTGTCTTTGCTGACGTCACTCCTGTAATTTATGTTGCCGCCGCCGCTGCTGGCTCTGCATGTTATGTAATTTGTGCTGATATGTGTTGTCATGCTGCTCCTGCTCCTGCTGTTGACCACAACCGTCCGTACCATTGCATCGCCTTTGCTACCACCATCGGAGGTGGTGCTGATGGAGGCAAACACTGATGAAGACACTACGACTGCTCTGATCACACATTCAACTCACGAAGGATTGTCACGACAACTCCACCTTTTAAGAAGAACTGCCTGCTGGGGAAACACCTCTGGACATTGCGATTTGCATGGGTATCCCGATATCCCCACGGCTGATTCACTTCCGATACCGTCTCTGGCCTAGACCGGCCTTGTGGCGATGCTAGGTATGGGATCGATGCTGCTGTACGCCAGAGGCTCCCGTATTTGTATCTTCCGGAATGCCTTCCTATATGGCTGGCTGGTCGGTCCTCTTTCACAATACACAATACAAGGACAAAACCCTACACCCTAGAAACAGCACAAGAACAGAGCAATTCTGGCCAGACACCGGGTGGTCGATTGGGTACAGGATCGTCTCTTGCAGGGACCTCTTCGTGTCTTCCTGAGCAGTTCTGGCGCTTCAAGTTTCGAAGCCAGCTTTTCTCAGATTGCGACCCTGTTGGCGGCTTCGGGCTTTTTAGGTTTAGGGCTTAGGGCTCAGGGTTGTGACAGTGGAGCTCGGAGAATCTATGAATCTGGGGTCGCACTGGGGTGCATCTGGGAGAGAAGCTGGCCATGCTTCAGGTCGTAGCTCCCCGTCCACGACTGCCAAGTGCGCGACGTCTTCCCTCTAGCACGTTCGGTGTGAACAATGGCGCTCCCTTTCCATTGGCTGCGCCGGCAAGAGGCCAAAGGCTTTAGAGTCTTAAGGGTCCTTCGGCTTGTTCAGAACCTTGAAACTCCCTCTCGCTCAAGCAAGATGGCCCAAGAGCAGCTTGGCGTCAAGACCACCGATGTCGTCCCATTTGATGTTGGGCACCTCAACTAGTCAACTATCAGGAGTTCGCCAACGCATGTTTCTTTCAGGAAGGCTAACTTCTAGGCAGGCAGCCTGTTAGCACTCTTGTGAAAATCAGCAACTTTCCGCGTAGAGTCTCAAGTGTAGCAGGCCCAGAAGAAGCCGAAACCCAAGCCCATTGCCTCCCCTGTACATGCCTCCACCACTGTCTCTCGCAAGGAGGAGGGGTTCACGCTGCCCATCGCAGACTTGAAGTGCTCCTGTGCACCGAGGCATTGTGCGTCAGGCCTTCTTGGGGCACGGGTGTGCAGCCTTTTACTGGAATTTGGAGAGAAGTACACAGGACCCACTGCATACACGTCATAATAATGCTTGGATTCAGGGTTTGGGATCAGTTGGTGAACCAGCTCCAAGCACATCACCAATTGCATCTCAAACAGGTGCCCCAACACCATGCCGGGTTATGTCAGAGCTTACACGTTCTCGCTCCCGAGAGCCTCGAGCCCACCCAACAACGGCATGCAAAGCCTTGAAGAGAGAGGTAGTCATCCCAACCCTTCACATGCTATCAATCTGCCGGGCGCAGTGCCTCTAGATCGTGTGTGAGATCGAGTTTGTCAGCTATGATAGGTGTTGGCCCAGAACTGCCGTTTCGAAGAAGAGCAAGAAAGGGATCACTTCTTCCCCGAACAGTCCTGGGACACGGCCATCGAGTCCAGGATCTCCGCGTCGATGGTCTCCTCCTCCAAATCGATGAGATCCATCTTCTCCCGGATGCACCTCCGTCGCTTCAAAAGGACCGGCTTTTTTGGCCAGAGTTCTGAAACTCCGTTCAGACGGACGGAAACAGGATGCCTGAAGCCTAAACCCGACCGGAAGCACAGTCGGGTGGCGTGAGCGCAGCTTCCGTACAGAGTTGGGCCAGGTCAGCACCGACGAAGCCGTGGGTGTTGGAGGCCACTTCCTCCCAGAACAGGGTGGCGCTTTTTTCGGGCTTAGGTTTGATTTGGGTCGAGCTGAAGCCCTACATCCCGAAGTTGACAGGTGATGAGGTTGACAAGTGACGAGGAAAGAGTCAGAGGCTTGGCTTCTTTGAGGCACTTCGGTCTCTGTCGCTTGTGGTGATGGCATCGGGTTTTTCGGAACCTGCTGACCCAGACGAGGACGCTCCTCCAGCTTGACATCCGTGGCCAGCTTCATGTTCTTGCAATGGATGCGCAGGATCTCCAGCCTGGCTCAAACGTCATCTGTGCATTAGCCCACCTCATGTACAAATGAAAAATGGCACATCCTGATGCCCCTGTAAGCCTTCGTTCCGCGAAGCTAACGTTCCCACGTACCTGCACCTGCTCCAGCACTCCTTTTGTCGTTTGTCTTCCTCTCGTTGGCTTTCTGGTTTTCTCGGTCCGTCAGACCGAAACTGTCTTTGCCGGTCCTCCCCAAGCCTCTCCCAAACAACGAACCCTGAACCTTAAAACCCTGAGCCCTGAGGCCCAGAAACCCCTAACCCTAAACCCTTAACCCTCATGGAACCCTCGCAGAACCCGAAACAACCATATATTGCAGCCTGTTTTGTGCCCTTTCTTAAGACCCTCGCAGAATTCGCTTCTACCCCCGACTCCTGCCTGCCGTTGTCGTCGGGGACCCCAATGTCCAACTCCCGGTCGAAGCGGCCGAATCGCCGCAGAGCGGCATCAATGGAGTTCGGCCTTTCGAGGCTCCCAAAATAAAATGGGGGTACTACTTGGGGTCTAGATTCAGGTCCCCCGTTCGCCCTTTGGGGTTTGGTCTTGGGGTTATTGGGGTTCAAGGTTGAGGGTTTGAGGTGTTGTTTGCAGGTTCAATTTGGCGCGGTGTCGGGCTTCGGCTGGAGCCAACAATAACCCTAAAGGCTCGCGTTAAGGATTTGAAGGGTCCAGTTCCCACAAACTTCTAAGCTAGAGAAACCCTACCACCCTAACCTTAGAACCCTGCAAACCCTGCCCCATAAAACCCTTTTTTTCCACAGGCTTGATTAGTGCTCGCCCGGCCCCATAAAACCCTAAACCCGAAAGCAAAAACCCGAAAATCCCGAAACCCTAAACCAACAATCCCGAACCCCCAAACCCGAGAAAAGCCCTTCTTGCGGGCCTCTCCAAGAAGGAGACAAAGCTCCAGAGTCTCCAGGTAATTCCACAAACCGGATAAAAACAGATCTCAAACCTTTTAATCTCTAAACCCCCAATCCCGAAAACCCATAAATAATCACCCAAAGCCCTAAACCCCCAATCTGAACGCACCTGCACAGATGTGCTGTGCTGGTCTAGAGTCTGGCTGTATTCTCGCCGCACGACATTGTCGAAGAAAGTCTGGCTACCATTTCTGCAGACTTAAACCTACCTAGATCCCCGAACCTGTCAACCTGAAGTTGCTGAACCCGCCCAGAACCGCAAGCTCCAGAACAGGACAGCCCACGCTGCAACATGCCCCGAAGCAGAAAGCCCCTAAGCCACACGCCAGGAACTTCACAAACCCTACTAAGCGCCCCCCTAGAAAGCCTAGCCGTCATCATGCCCTATTGACCCCTTTTTGAAGAAACCTCCCTTGAAGGCCTGTTCGTGGCAGCAATGACCACCACCTGGTCAGAGCTTGCAGGACTGGGATTCCGGGTTTAGCCAGGGTGTGGGGCACAACGGGCGGCTCTCTCATTGTTCAAAAGATCTCAAGATTAGCCGTTTTGCATGTGGTACAAAACGTGTCTTCGAGCACAAGTGTCTCCACCTTGGATCCCCAAACGACATCAACAACCTTCTTCGACTTCGATCCCCTGAACCACCCCAAGCCCCGAAGCAACCCTGAAAGCTGTGATCGGAACCTGCGACATCCTCTCACTCTTTGTAACAGCAAGCTTCTGAGGCTCCCCAAACCCCCAAACCCGAGACCGGACCGGCCGGACCGGGGCCGGGGCCTGGCCACGGCCTTTGATGCCATCCATCAGCGTCAACAGCTGGGAGACCACACGCTTCTCGACCTTTGGGGGTGGGGCTCTCGAGTGCCTGGAGGGCTCGGGGGATTTGGGGTCCGTCGGTTTGGTGAGGGTTTCATCTCTATTTGTTTCGGGGTTTCGATTTGGCAGACGCAGGCACGGCTTCTGGGGTCCATTGCTACCGTTACTAATGTTGTGGTGACCTGCACGTCGCGATCCAGCAAGACAGCCAATAGAAGGTACAGCCCAAATAAGCGTAAGCAATAATGCAAATGTAAACGAGGATCAGCGATGGGCAGGACAGTTCGTATCAGTAGTGCTGTTGTGATTACAGATCAGTAGTAAGTTAACAGCCAAGTATCGCATAAAACAGCACTACCGACCCTGGGTAAGCAGCTTTGTGCCATAGGTTCCATTGCTACTCAGCGACAACGGCTGTTTCAAAATCTCAGACTCAGATGATCTCCACGAGAAAGTATGGCTTCGCGCGCTTGCAGTTGTAGAACGGTTTCTTTGTTGTCTCTTTCGATCATGCAGTGTCGTCACATGCGCAGCTTCAGCAGTAGAGCCACGCATTATACCTGTGCAGTCATGTCAGCACCCCCACCATCTGGTAGCACACCAGCTCCAGGCGTCGTAGCATGAAGCTGCAGTTGTGCAACGACTTATGGCATGCAGGTGCGGCAGCGTCCTAGCCAGCAACAGCAATGTCCACCAACCACTTGGGCTCTCCATCGGATAAGGGGAGACGACACAACTGAGCAGATCATCTGTTGCAGTGGTATTTCGACTCACACACTCGCAGACGCAGGCACGGCTTCTGGGGTCCATTGCAGTGGTATTTAGGGTCTCGACTCGCACGCTCGCAGACGCAGTGGCTGTGCTTTTGAGCAGAGCACCAAACCAGACTGTAAAGGCATCTCCACCACATGCTACTTGTCGAACGGCTCCTGCAAACGCCTTGGGCCCCTTCATGTACGCGGCATGGTGCCACAAAACATTGCCACCCAGTGTAACGTTTCAGATCCATGCAGCGTCCCACGTACCACACCATCCCAGCTGTGACCATAGAGATCATGGCGTCGTTGTACACTGTACTATCCACTTCCCGCAGTTTGTCAGAGAGCCATGGCAGCATACAAGTTCGGCTAGGGTGGTAGGTAGTTACCATCGGGGGTACGTCGATCCCAGAAGTGACAGGAAATGAAAAAGTGTTCAGACGACCTCCATTGTCAGGGGCACCGGCAATAGCAAACCCATACTCCGGCAGGCAGTACCCATACATTACGTTGGCGATGGGGCCAGGGCGTGAAGGCGTTGCCTGTACCACACATGTGTTGTAGCTGTGCACTCACGATCTCAGGGCTGTCCATGGTCTGCACATCATCGCCTCTTTGGTGTTGTGGTTCTCTCACTGTCTCCCCAAAGGGTCTAGCAGCGCCAGGCAACACATGAGGCTCAGCCCTCTCTCTGAGTTTTGGGGATCTCCCTCCTGGAATGTGAGATGCATGACTTCAGGCTTTCGGGCTTTGGCAGAGTCGCGTTTCCCAGCACCCCCACATTGAACCCAACCATTTTCGCAATGCCTTGTCCTCAGCTTCTCATGAACGTTGCAGGCAAGAAGCCTTGTATCCCGAGAAAGCCATCAACCTTCGGCTATACTTTGCCCCAACGATTGGTACCTCTTGAGTTTCTACAGCCTCATATTGCCATTGCATAGATGCCTGGAACCTGACAGCGCATATCCTTTTCGGGTCCGTTAGAAACAAGCACCTTCAAGGACGATATTACCCCACGCCCCAACAAGGCGTGAGAACCTCCTGCATGTGGTGGGCTTTCCCTTTTGCATCGGGCCTTTACCACCGCCCGGTAATCCCCGTGGGCTTTCCCTAAACCCTAAACCCGAAGTCCTAAACCCTACATCAACCCAAAGCCGGTGTGCCCGACCTCGCCGCTGGTCTTGTCTCGTTTTGGCGCGATCGAATCGATCTCATCAATGAAGATGATTGCGGGAGAGTTCTTCTCTGCCTCGCAACGAGCACCCTTTTGTGCATAAACCTTTTAAAGACTTTAGCCGTAAACTACCCTCAACCCTAAACTGATCCTATTGCAGCTGGGAACCTTGAAACTCCGCTCAAACCCTGACCCCCCCCGCCTCCTCGAAAGCCTTGCGCAGGTTGCTCTCCGCCTCTCCTGTCAGAAAGCACGCACCCCGGAAGCCGTGGATTCACTAGCTTTAGGCTCTTGTTCTGGGTTCTTCAAGTGATTTAATGGGGTATCCCAAGGCCTGCTATTAGCTTCAAGCATAGTCTGCCATTGAATCATAGCCTTTCAACTGCGCTGAACTCCTCGCTTGATGTATGTTGCCAACATGGTGCTTTACCTGTGTGCTTCCTTGCTGCACGCGGGAAATGGACAACACCCAAAAGCAGATATCCCAACATGACGAAAAACAAAACGTGCCTGCCATCTTGGACATGATTTCCGGACCGTTGATGAGGAAGAAGAAAGCTCCAGTCTCGTTGGCCACGGCCCGCGCAATCAGGGTTTTGCCACTACCAGGAGGCCCATACCTTTCTCAGCCCAGTCACTGCATGGCAGCAATCACCCCCACGGGGTGCAGGAGAACTGAAAGAGCTGCGTTCATGCTGAAGGCTGCTGCTAAATTCCTGGATTCAGCTCTTCGACGGTCAGTGCCCCAAACGTTTAGTCAAAGGTCGAAGCTCTCCATCGATGCCACTTCGTGTACATCCCAAGCCACGACCCCCAAGAGCCCAGCACCCCAACAGCCCGGCAGACCCCCAGCTGAAACCCCTCCGCTATTTGCATCAGGGCGCAAAAGGACCCCTCGCGGTGGCTTCACCCCCAACCTTGCAAGGAACGCCGGGCATCGCAAAGCTCAGCTTAGGGTGCACGGTTTGTGGTCCATGCTTGGGGCTTAAGGGCGGAAAGCTTAGTTTGGACGTGGGTGGAGCTTCGAATTTAGGGGCTGCCGCAAGAAGGTTCGGAGCTCCAATCAGAACCAGCATTCCCGCAAACCACAACCCCAAAGCATGCACGAAACTTCTCATCCATGATTCTACTTCGTTGTGGCCTGGAGGCTTTCGTGCGGAGGGCTTGGGCCGTCTGATCTGCTTAGGAAGATGTAGCACTCGGTCCCCATCTAAGACATGATCAACCTCCGTCCTTAGAAAGTCCCTACCAATGACGCAGCCCCCAACTCCAACAGCTTGGAGGCCACATGACCCCGGAAACTGCTCGGGAGAACGCTACGGAAGCAGAACATCTGTCGAAACTCTCTCTCTCTCTCTCTCTCTCTCTCTCTCTCTCTCTCTCTCTCGCTCTCTCTCTATGTCTTTCTCAAGGTGCTGGATGCCATCGATGGCCTTCTGAATGGTGCCCCTATGGATCCTAAACTCTGCCTTGTGAATAAGGCCCCACACTTCTGCGCCTCATTAACGTCTTCAGCCAAGTCGCGTCTTGAAGAGCGTAGGGTGACGCAGGGGGAGCTCGATCATCTCACGAATCTGACCCATCGCCTGGCGGAGCTAGCTGAAACCCAAACATCGGTGGCCGGGGGGGGGGGGGGGGGTTCACCTAAATCAAAGCCTTTTAAATTGAAGCCCGAACCTTCAACCCCAAATACCCCTATCCCTAAACGAAGAGCCCTCGACTCCCTAAGCCCTAAACCCTACGCACAAAACCTTGAACCCTGAATGAGACTGCGGAAACCTCCACCAATCTCTGAAGATTGGGACCCCAAGGCGAATTGGCGGTTGTGACGGCCAAACCCTTACACCCTGCAGAGACAAAGGTGCCTTCTTGCAGCCTCCGATGTCATCGTATCCTCCAAAAGCAGCCCGATTGGGTGCAGATTTCCAAATCGTGTGGCATGATATTTCGTTGTAATGCTTCCACACTTGCGGAATTTGCGGTCGGATCGGTTTCATGGATGGGTTCGTGGCTTCGAAGCTATCACGGCTGTTTACACTTCAAGCAGTCCTACCGAGATCGGACTCTCTGTGCTCCTAGCACGGTGAAATTCTTTTGTTTCCTTCTGGTGGTTCCTACCGTGGCATTAGGAACTGTGTACCGGCAAGATTGGACAAGCACTCACCTTCATCAACAACAACTTGGCCGTCAACAAAATCCTGTTTCAACAAGAACAACAACATCATCATGACCACCAATACTATCGGCCAAGACTGGGACGGCGACGACGAACCGACGGGGAACGACAGTGGCGGCAGCGGCGCGGCGGGGCTGTAAAGCGCCTGTTGCGATGCGGACACCTTACCGCCTCCTCGACCACTACCAGAGTGGTAGCAAAACACAACACCAAAACAGAACCAAGAGCAACAGGGCTTTTCCAGACCGGCAACAGTAACTTAACGAATCTGCGAAATGCCTGCACAGAGACAATGCCCACCCTCGTGGTGAAAGCGGTCTGCAGCCGACCACCAGCCCAAGTCAAAAATCGAAGATCGGGATGATCCTAACTTGCCTTTGAGAGCCACCGCTCTGCATAGAAAGATCGCAGCGGTAAGACGAAACGGGCAAGCCAAGAGGACAAACGCTAGACGTTCAAGCCGCAGGACGGACGATAGGCCTTCTTTGCACCCCGGGACAATTGGAACCCAAGGCAGAGGCCCGGCACCAGCATCTTACTTCAGGCCTTCCGGCTCTCACAGCACCTGAAGCTCGAATCATATTTTGTCCTTTTGCTATGTTTTAAGGTATTGTAAAACAATATACTATGATATATTATTTTATACATATATATATATATATATATATCCAATACATATTTGACTTGATGTTCATCCTAAGCCCAACACACCCCCGAGCAGGCGAGGGACGATGCCAGGCCCTGCCCTAAACCCGAAAGCCCGAAACCCTAAATCCGGTCAAGCCCCAAACGGAGATCCTGCAACCTCACTTGAAACCCTAAACCCTAAACCCAAAAAAGCAAACCTACCGAAAATCTTTTGCGCTGCCCAAGCACCGACATCGTCCAGCCGCTCCTCATCCTCGCGCTTCACCTTGGCAGGGGGTTCACGGGGATCCCATGAGGCTTTCTTTTGAGGATTCTCTCCCTCTGCCTCTCTCTCTCTCTCTCCCTCTCTTTTTGGGTCCCCCAGGCGAAGCCTTGAGGCTTGAGGGAGTTCGGAGAGTTTGAGCTTCTTGGGATTAGGTTCCGGCGGGTTTAAGCTTGAGGATGATACGCGGATTCGAGTTTGCAGGCGCTCCTCCAAAGCCAACAGCAAGGGGCTCGGGTTTCGGTGGCTCCGGGCTCCGTAAGCTGTCGTCATCTTCCGAAAGACCTTGGAGGACTCTGAGTTGTCAATGTCGGCTTTGCCTGTATCAGAACCAGATCAGAACCTCCTCCTCCTCCCGGCTTCAAGTCAGACATCTGCTGCTGTGCAGGTTGGCGCAGAATGTCCGAAAACAAATCCCAGAGCAAGAAACTCTCAAAAAACTGTGGCCCCTGATTGGGCCGAGTCTGATGCTACAGGATGCTTCAGCTTCGTCAAAGGAACATAATATGTGGAAGCATCTTGGGTATGAAAGGGTGTGCAGTAAGGGTTCAATGCCTCAACGGTTCACCAGGTATAGCAAGCAAAAACAATCTTAAAACAATCGCTGTGCACCGAGTCGACAAACACTCGCGAGAATCGCTTGAGTTCATCCACATACTCCGTCACCGACGGGGCTTTCTGTCAAAATGGCTCCGTAGCTTAGACGTCCGCCTTCTTATCCTGGCATTCGCTGCTGCGTGGGATAGAAGCCTGCCTTCTGGTGCTTATGGGTGTTGGATCTAGCTGTCCAACGGTATGAAGGTGTCTTTTTAGCTCTGGCGATGAATGTTCTCACAGCCTCGTCAGCTAGGAGTACGGGTTGTGATGCTCATGTTCGCCCTCGCTGGTCCTGCATGATTATGGGTATCGCCTCTTGAGCTCATGATGCTTTAGCTTGTGATGCTCGGTCTCACTGCTGCGTGCACTACTACATGATGCTCAAGATGCTCGCGTTGTTCGCTCTCCTGCTTGTGTGGGTTTAGCAGTCTCTCTTCTGATGCTCATGATGCTCGCTCTTTCTGCCTGATGCATTTTTAAGTCTCGCTTCTGATGCTCATGATGCTCGCTCTTGCTGTGCCATGGGCTTAGCAGGTTACCTTCTGATGCTCATGATGCGCGCTCTCGCTGCCTCATAAGTTTCGAAGTCTCCCCTCTGATGCACATGATGCTCGCTCTTCCGCCCCATAAATTCAGCAGTGTCCCTTCTGATGCTCATGATGCTCACTCCAGCTGCTCGGTGGGCTTCGCAACCTCTCTTCTGATGCAACCGATGCGTGCTCTCGCCTGTATGTTTGGAAGTCTCCCTCCTGATGGTTATGATGCTCGCTCCGCTGCCTCGTGGATTCAACAGTCTCCGTCAGATGTTTATGATGCCTGCTTTCGCGGCGCCTTAAAGTCAAACATCTCACTTCTGATGCTCGCGATGCTCGCTCTTGCTGCCCTGCTCAAAGAGAAAAACGCAATCCTGATGCTCACGATGGTTGCTCTTGCCGCCAACTAAGTGAGGCTTGTGGCTACCTGGCCAAGACCGTTGCTCTGTCTTGCGGCCATTCCGCTTCCAATATCTTTCGCGAATTGATGATCTATCTGCCAGATCGGAGGGTCTTCACAAACGCTGTGCTGCTGATTGCTTCTGTGCTGAAGGTCTTCGAATGGCAGCGTGAAGTTGGGAGCAGCTTACACAGGCTTGGGGCTTCGATTGAAATCGTTCTGCTGCCCAGACACTGGTTCGCCCTCGCAATGGATTACAGTGTCTGGTGCCACAATAACCTCAGCTGCGGTCCAGAGCATTCCCGCCGAAGGCCAGAACACTCAAGATTTTCAGGTTTTCTTCCACCCGTCCAGCTGAACGATGTCGCACCGCAGGGAAGGTTAGAGGTCTAGGGTTTGGACTTATGGACTCTAATGGGCCCTCTGGGCCCCTGACCTTCAGATCCGAAGATCCTCTAAACACAAACCAGACCACCTTCACCCTACAGTAATATAGGGGCCTTAATCATTGCCTATGATGCGTTGCGGGCTCCTTATGTAAGTATAGTAGAGTATAGTGCACCCCCAAACCCGATTCTAACTATTAGGGTCCCTATAGTAGGTGCCTTCAGAGGACCCTCATCGTACGATGGGGATCCGGTGCCCCTGAGCTACAATCGCTGAAACTGCACAGACAAGATACTTATACGATCATTTTCTATAATGTACAATAGTATACTTTGGGATACTAGTTTACGCTGATCTACTACGATATACGTACATGTACGAAAACATACTGAAATACACCTTGCTGCACCATAATAAACTCTAATAACTCTACTCTAATACATAAGGACGCTAAATTTGAGCTAGCGCTCTGCACTTCCCTGGTTGAGAAAGGGAGCGAATTCGCCAGGATCCACTCCAACCACCTTCCGAAGGGGTTCCCCGAGTGATGCAAAGTCTTCGGGATCCTCTGGACGGTTTTGAGTGAACTTGTGATGAGGATGGTTATGGAAGCTGAAGTGCTGGCGGTTCCAGGAATTGGGGTTGGGGGGCTCGTGAGATTGGGATGCCTGTTCGTCTTCCGGTCGCCCCCCCAATGGCCTTGAACTCCACGGGACGGAAGCCACCGCGCACGAGGAAAAGGTCCCCCTGACGGGCGGGGCGGTAGGCCTGCACCACGGCGCATATGCAATCCCGAATGCGCCCAAGCCCAGAACGACATCAATCTGCCACCGTGATGGCTTCTCTATATCCGTGAGATACCCCCTAAACAGGACTCATAGGCCAGGCCTCCAGGAAGTAGGGCTTCAAGTAAGTGTCGAAGAGGTTGCCTCTCTGACACCACAAACAGGACAGGCTCAACTCGTTTCGCACAAGTTGCAACACGACTTGTCATTGCTTGCGCAGCTTCCGCCACTAACCCTAAACATGTGAAACCCTTTCCCACAACGTAAACAATGAATGCCTCCACCTGCACATCCTTGAGCGATTCAACCGCCAATGCCTCAACCCTGCTTCTCGTTCCTAGGCACTCAATTGGGTCCAAGCAGCCTGTGAGACCCTCGATGGTGTCGTCCAGTGGGAGGACGTGGATGCGCTTTCCGTACGGCACGTCTCCGCCTAGATGTCTGTCTCGAGCAGGCCATTTTGCTTCAGCCCAGAACCCAAGCCAAAGAGACATTTAATAAACAGGCTTTCCAGGGAGGCCCAGGCCTTCGCCTTTCCCTTGCCTGAGGCCTTGCACACAATTTAACTGGAAACCTCGAGAAGCATGGTCTTCGGTTACTAGGAATCGTTGGGTTGGTGCTGCACAACAGATAGCAAACAGTGCTGACATACGGCCGACGCTTCTCCTATCTACCTGCACCAATCGCACATCACTCGCCTTGAATTCTCAAAGGAATCTTGTCGGCCCGGCTGCATGCATGGACGGAGATGATGTCGCCCAGGCGGACTCGAAGATTCTTCCGCACCACCTTCGTTCGAGTGGACACGGCATGACCTTGCTGTCGCTGCATGTCGTTGCTACTTGTTGCAGCTTTGCATACGAAGCTTCACCCGATTTCATCTTGTTGCAGATATTGCAGTCATAATTGCCATCGGCATCGCCCCGTCAACCCTCTGCCCGGCCCCGAGCACGGCCTTGTTCATGCGGATCTTGCTATCATCTAGGTTCTCGTCAGCCAAAACGATGCACACCGTGTCCTGCAGAGCTAGATGAGAGGTCAACGCTCCCAGAGCAGGGCGAAGCAGAAAAGCGCACACTAAGGTTCGGCAAGGGTAGGTTTTTCCCACCCGGACGTCTGAGAGTGTTGTACGTTTGGGTGTTGTGGCCTGAGCTTCAAGGCTACGAGACTTGCTTCAAATGTGATGCTTTGGAAAGAGCACCTGTCCTTTCGCTTTTTGCCCTTGATGAGCACGTTGTCGCCACGGAAAAGATTCAGCTCCTCCATCTTGGCCTGAAAACATGTGGCTTAGGGCTTAATCTATATACATCCCCTCAACGTGAGGTTTCTCATAAACCTGGGTCAGGGTTGACCGAGCGCCGCAGAAAGGAACCGATCCCGCCTTCTGAATAAAGGTCTATGATGTTTTGCTCAATAGGCTTCAGGCAAACAGGGAGGTAAACAGGTGAGGTTTCTGGTGCACGGTATGTGTGTTTCTCTGCGGCATGCATAGATACAATTCCGATGCCACAGCACCTGACTAGCCCAGCATTCCCCGATAGCCGAGGACCTTGAAAATGTGCGGAGGGCGGGGAGCCTGCGACAGGGAAATGACGGAATTGTCGTCATTCAGCGCTTCTTCCACTACCAAGCGATTCCTCGGCAAGGCTTGGAGCACGCTTCGGCGCAGGCAAGCCCGGGAAACTCTTACGGGTTGAGCGTAGGTTCGCCTTGCGGATTTATACAAAAACCACTCTAAACCCTGAGCAAAGCCTCACCGAAAGCCTTAAACCCTAAAGCCTCAAGCCTTGAATCCTAAATCGGCACTAAACCCACCCCGACACCTCTCAACCCCGCAAACCCGTGAAGTAACCCCCCAACTCCAAAACCACCCGAGGCGCGGGGAGCGTTTCTTCACCGGCTTGGCCGGCTCCGCTGGCACCTGGGGAGTTGAAACAAAGGAAACAAAGGAAGGGATAGCTGGGCCCTGTTATTCTGATGGTGATCATTGCCATGGTGTTTCTTATCCTGACCTTTGCTGCTCTTACTCGTATTCTTACCGTTCTGATGGTTACTCTAGTTCTTCTTCTCAAGAATGCTGGCCATGTGATGAATATTGTTACTATCCATCAAGGTCATCACACATGTCTCGATCGTCTTCTGCTTATGAGTACTACGACTATTCAACCCCGCAAATCTCTAGGGTGATGAAACGGTTCGGTTCAGAGTTTTGGTTTATGCCCTCTTTTGCTTTAGCAGCTAGCCTCTGGAAGACCATGTTGGTTGAGGGAGTGCTTCGGCTTTAGGATTTAGGTTTTTTCCCCCTCCTAAGGGCCTGGGGTTTAAGAGAGGTTCAGTTCCACTTGCCATGGCTCTGGCTTTGGGTTCAAGCTGCGCGGCGTAGACCAGGATTTAATTGCCCCAAACTTTCCGAGCAAAACCCTTTTCCACAGGCTTGATTAGTGCTCGCCCGGCCAGAATCCCCAAGCAAAACCCTTTTTTGACACTGGGCTTGCTGGCTGCCAGAATATATGACCCTCCGACGTGTTGCCAAGGATCGCGAAAATCAAACTCATCTCTGAAGTGAAACAAACCTCTGAATCCTCCGTGACCACGAGTCAGGGAAAGCAAAACCCTGAACCTTGAACCCGGAACCCTGTTTGAAACAAACCCCAAGATCATAGAATCCGGAGCCCTTGCGCTAGCACCTGGAGACCGAAACCTGTTTGCATCCAGCACGTAACTGCCACTGCGGACCCAAGACAAGTTCAGAGCAAAGCATCAAGAAACCCGAAAGCCCCAACAGCATAAAGCGTAAGATCCAAAGTCAGCTTCAGGGCAAGCATTCCTGTTCCTTAGCAGCACCTTCATTTCGTACACGCTGAGCAAAGGCCCCGAAGCCTTTAAACTCGAAACCCCAAACTTCCGTCTGGGGCACAGGGGGTGCAGGCTCGTTGTCAGCCATGGCCTTCACCGTGGGCTTTCACAACTTCGGAACTGTAGAGAGGTTCAAGGTGCAGGTGTCTCGGCATCTCGGGCGATTTTATGGGAGTTAAGCCGTTGCACGGGTGTATGCAAGGGTGTGGGATGCTGGTCGCTGCCACTTCGCAATTTCCGGGCCAGCCTCTCCTGCATTTACAGGTGCAGTATTCTGTGGTGCTTTGAAGCTCCAGACTCACATTCCCACCTTTCACTTCAGGAATGTTGAGTGCTGTTAAGGTTAAAGTCTGACATGCCATCTTGGGGTTGGGTTGGGATAATTCCTGAACCCCCCGGCTCGCTCCAGAACTTCGAGTACTTGGTTTAGGGTTGCGTTTGGGGTTTAGGGTTTCGTGTCATAGAATCATAAATCTCAACAGCTGCTCACGAACGGTTGAGGTCGCACAAACAGTCGAAGGCTCAAACTCAGAAGAGTAGAGCTCGATGCAACCCGACCACGTTCGACCCTTCTGGAACCAGGAGCTCCATCCAACCCACATAAATTCGACCTTCTCCTCGCCCCAGAATTCTGGAAGCTTCAGGTGTGATGTCTGGATTGCGGCGTTGCAGAGCATGGTCAATCCCGTTTTCCCGAAACCCCAAAACCCTCAGTCCCGAACCCCTGAACCCTAAACCTTCTCAACCCAGAAACCTCTTCCCTCCTCAACCGATACTCTGCACCAGGCCCCCCACACCCCAAGCCCTGAACCCCCTCAACCCACAAAGCCCCAAACTCAACCGATACTCTGCACCCTAAACTCAAAACCCAAAAACCTCAAGCTTTACCTTCTGGAGGCTGGGCGCCCTGACTTCGCGAAAAGAGGCGTCGGCTGGGATTGTCAGAGTCTATCAAGCTGCGATCTCGAGCCACCATCCCAGACCAGGCAAGGATTGAAACGAAAACTGGAGCGGTGAGAATTCGCCTCGTGTTGTTATACAGGATTGGTCTTGTATAAAGGTTTGGCTTCAGCGGCTTCTGGCCCTAGGGTTTCGCGGGGCTTTACATTACGACTTCCAAAACCCGGCGCAGGTGCCTGGGCATGGAGTCCAGGATTTAAACTTGCCTGCTTGCCTGCTTGCTTTGCTTGCAAAGGGTGTGGGGGCCCAAGGTGCCCTGGCCCGACACCCTACCCCACACCCGTCGTGTTCGCCCGACTGTGCGTGTCGACCCAATCCCAACACCACCCCTTCTAAAACCATGACCGTAACAACCGGCAAGATCTAAACTCTCCCTCTCTTTGTCTCTCTCACCTCCTTCCTTCCTCCCTCTCCCTCTGCCTCCCTCTCTGTCCCTTGCTTTGCTCTCTCTCATTCTCTCTCTGTCTCTCTCTGTCTCTCTCTCTCTCTCTCTCTCTCTCCTTCAGCACAGCCAAGTCGTGCCGAGTAGTTCGACCCCCCGCGCGGGCTCTGTGGTGCAAATCGGGCAAAGTTGGCCAAACTCGGACTCAAAAACTTGTTCCTTCACCAAAAAACCCAACTAATGACCCCCAACCCACATCGAAGGCTAAGAGTGTGGACCCCCCTGCTGCCGGCGTCCGAGAGAGGACAAAGAGGACAGAGAGGACAGAGAGACAGAGAGGCAGAGAGGCAGAGCATCACAAGCAGCAGCTAACAGACATGGCACACAAACAGATTCGGTTCACTCTTTCCCCTCTGCAGCTAGTCTGTATCATGGCCCCGATCCTGTGTCTCAGGCTCCGGAGGTCTATCGGTAGTCTGTAGTGGGGGGGTTGTAACAGCATGCTGTCTGCCCCCCCGCAGCCACTGGCTCAGTCACTGTCGTCGGTGCGGTAAAGTAGTCGGTGGGGAGTCGTCGTCGCTGGCCCTCGCGGCTCAGAAGTCGTCGGCTGGCTTCGCGTCGGTGCAGAGCTTCTTCGGCCTTCACCTAAGGACCCGCGGACGCGCTCCGCGGAGCTCGGCACTTCGATCTCGGCCATGGCTATTCGCGCAGAGGCGTCGGCCGCGCCGGTGGCACATGGCTCACATGACTCCCATTCCCGGGTGGGTTGTCCCCTCTGTCATCGTCCACTGCGGTGGTCGGCACTGGGTCCCCCCCTCCAGGGCTACTGCTTCGGGATGTGCGGGATTTCTTTCCTTTGGTGGTCGTGCTGTGGGGGAATGCTGCAATCCCAAACCAACCCGTGTGCTTCAGGCCCGGTATCGAGTCTACAAAGTTGCGGGTTCATGGTCCTTCCCGTCCGAACTTGCGGGACTTGTGGGAGGCGCGGCCCGCGCGGCGGCGCCTTTCCATCTCCTTCCGAGTTCTGTTGATGTATGCTTTGTTGAGCTTGCCGACCTCAATCCGGTGCTCGGGGACGTCGCTCTCCCGGGCAAAGGGGCCTGTCAAGGCTCCCGGGCGCCAGGCCCACCCGTGCCTTTGGAGAGGAGCGTGAAAAAACGAATAGCCACGGGAGAAGAGTATGCTGTTAGCAAATGAATCTCCGACTGGACTATTCGTGGAAACCGGCTGACGAAAACGTGCTTTCTCTGGGTTTGTTGCAATAACAAGGGAATAAAACGCATACGATTAACGAAGAAAATGATCCCCCGAGAAAGTGTCGGGAGTGATCTGAAAAACGTGCCAAATAAGTCCACTTGCGGCTCTATCTTGCTTGCTTGCTTGCGCAGGGGCTTAGGGTCCCTGGGGACCCTTGGCCCGAAGGCCTACCTCCCCAAGGTTCGCGGCGGTCAGTCTTCTCGGCCCCTTCCGGGGGTGGAAAGAAGTGTTCCTCCGAGTGTCAGCCCCCGAAAACACCCCTCCTAAACCATGACCTTGCAACCCCTGACACTTGCGGCTCTATCTCTCTCTCTCTCTCTCTCTCTCTCTCTCTTTCTCTCTCGCCGGCATACGGATGCTTGCATCCGCTTTGCATCGGGTCCGACGGCCGCTGGTGAGCACTGAATCCGAAGCAAGCAATCTACCACACCTGCAAACTCTCAGAGGCTAGCTCTTGCGGTTTGAAAACGATTCCGGTCTAGTAAAATGTACGCAAATGCACGGCACATCATCAAGACTACATGCCAAGCTACAAACCCCAATCATGCAACCCCTCAACACCTGACAAAAAATGGAATAGACTAACACAAAGCCGTTTTACAACTGTGCTTTCAGGACTGCCAGCATGTAGGACACCCTAAACCCAAAGCCCGGAATCCTACACACCCTAAACCCTAAACCCTCAACCCTATAAAACCTAAACCCTCCTTGAGGCAGCTCTGAAGGCCCTGGACGATGTCACGGCCGCTCTTCGCCGTGTCGAAGTCCCCAAGCAGCCCTGCCTCCCTGGGATTTAGGCTCAGAGGGGTCTCGCCAG